AAAAATGAAGTAATATATATATATATATATATATATATATATATATATATATATATATATATATATATATATATATATATATATATATATATATATATATATATATATATATATATATATATATATATATATATATATATATAAATCACACGGAAAATGCGGCCTGGAGCAACCAACTTTGCCGTCTTTATTCAAGACATCTTGGATTACATGGACAGAGGCTTAAATATAGGGTGACCTAAAAACATGAGGTCAGGTCATGATGATGACATCCACTAATCCCCCACCCAACACACCGTGGGGCTTAAGAGAAGGAGGTGACGTGACTAGCCAGGTCAGGTCAGAAAAAAGGGACCCACAAAATAACTATCATACATCTAGATCAAAGGTTTTCAAAGCATTTTAACCTTGGGCCACTGACAAATAAATTTATGTAACATATTATCAGTTTTGAACTGACCATCACTAAGGTTTATTGATTTTAATTCTTAATCAAACTAGCTTCAACCAGAAGTCTTTCTGTGACACAAGATGATTTGAATACTTCTAGCTTTTTCCCAAGCAATGGGTGATTATAATTCATAACATGAACGAACAAGGCACTGCTTTCAGATGCAGTTCTGATATTATACTTATGTTGTTTGATTCTGAGCTGCAGTGTTTTTCCTGTCTGACCTACATAATTACAATTACATTTGCTACATGGAATACAATAAACACTTCCATTTACATTCAAACTTGGGTTATTCCTTATTAACATATTGGTAATGGTTGAGTCATACTTAAAACAACATTAATATTTAGAAGCGAGGGACCGAACTAACGGGACAAATTCATTCTGATAGGGCAGAGTCAAAATATTCTTAAGTGTAGGAACTTGTCTGGTTTGAGAGGAATGAAAGGATTTTTAGCCCTTTAACAACGATCAACAAACACAGAAGGGTACCCAAGTTTCTGTGCAATAAACGAATGTTTCAATTCATCTCAATAAATTCAGAGTCCACATATGCCAGACATCTTAGGAACATAGCAGAAAAAACTGACATTTGGTAGACTCAGGTGATTCGATAAAAAGTGAATGAAACTGTCTACCTGTGTGGGCTTTCTATATACCTTAAATTTATAGTTTGGCCATTTCTCATGATAAGCATATCAAGAAATGGAAGGATTCATTATTTCTTTCAATTTTGAATGTGATACAAGACAATATTATTAAGCTTGTCTAAAATTCCAATGGGTCACTGTTTTTAGGCCAAAGACAAAGAACATCATCTACATATCTATACCATGGAGGAATAAAGTCCACTATATTGGGTAGTAATCTAGACTCAAAAACTCCATATAAATACAGGCTAGAGGAGCAGAAAACAATTACCCATGCTCATACCAAATATTTGCTTGTACTGTAGAACTTCCCATTTGCTCTAAACATTGTCAGTCACCTGTATATTTAAGCCTCTCTCTGTCCATAATCCAGTTTCCTCTGAAGATGTCTTGAATAAAGACAAGCTAAGGTACTCGTTGTTCCATTTTCGTGTGATTTTATCAAGATTTATCTTATCCACGTTTTTCATTGTGGATTTACATGAAATATATATATATATATATATATATATATATTATATATATATATATATATATATATCCACCACAACATTATATAAGTGATATCTCTGTAAGCCGGAACAATTTGTGCAGAGTACTTTCAGAAATAAGATATTTCCAGGTAATGCGATGGTTCTGTCAAAGCTGGAAAAAATCCCTCATCCCAGGAATTTTCCGGTAACAGAAAAATGTTATCGGAAGTTCCAGAATTTACCCATTACAGCATCTGTCAAACTGGAAAAATATCCCTCATACCTAAAACTTTCCAGGTACTGGAATAATTTTCTTGGATTTTCCGGAACATGCCCCTGATATTCCTCTCTCAAACCCGGAAAAAAACTCCCCCATGCCCGAAATTTTCCGGGTATCGGATAAATTTTCTCGGAATTTTCTGGAAAATATACCCCTCGGAAAATCATTCCCAAAGCCGTAATTTTCCGGAAAATTCCAGCTTTGGGAACGATTTTCTGAGAAAATTTCAATTCCGGCTATCGGAGAGTTTTGGGTTTAAGGGATTCCAGCTAACGGGGATATTATTGGATATTAAGTGCACAGTAATTTTCACTAAGGTTTCCTCTATCACAAAGTGTGTCGTATATGGATGACCCAGCACCTGTTGTGAGTGAAAGTGAGACGAGTGAACCCGAGGCTGGGCCGTCACGGGGCAGTAAATGTCCGTGCAGGCCTCACACGTGGAAGAGTAGTGTTGCAAAAAGGCTTTGTAATGAAGGCAAGGCATACACCAGTCATATGACCAAAAAATTACTACCAGGAAGGCTGGTAGAACCCCCCATGTGCCAATGGGTGTTTCACGAAAGTCGCCTTATCTCTATTTATAAAAAAATGTCACTTGTGTCCTTACTAGTGTGGTGGCCTCCGTATTGCATATACTGTACAGTACCTTGGTTTATTCATTGGTCAGTTGTGTAAATGTACAAGTATGCAAATTGAGCTATCATGTAACATTCAAAGATAATAAATAATGTTAGGAATGTATCTCCATTTCATTTACTACTTTATACAGTATGCTTTTTAATGACCCTATTGTAAGCTGATTTGCTGAAAGTTGTCTTGAGTGAATACCTTCCTTTACAGCTTATCCTTTTATTTTCAAGTCAAATTACAAATTATATACTGTATTGTACTTTTTTTGTCATTGAAGATGTATATTAATTATGATGATTCATATACCGGTACTATAAGAGGCTGATCATATGAGAATATAAAATTAATTCGACAAACTGTAGACCTGGCAAATGCTGTTTATATACACAGTGTCTTAGATCTCAGGCCTAGCTACAGCATATCTGATTAGACCACTGTAGAGTATATACGTACTGTTTTCAGTGAGCTAGTGTTGTTCTTTTCATAAGCATTTTTCAATAACATTATTGTGTCAAGTTGTCAACCCTTGTGACTGGGACCAGGTTGACTCCAACTTACCTGTCACATAAAGGGGATGTTGACAAGATCTTGTTGGTCTCGTTGATGACCTGACTTGACAAGTTAGCTGGTTCACCATGACCTCATGTAGCTACATTTCCATAAATAATAATCTCTCAAAATACTTTGGTACAGAAAAATGTGCCCTGCTTGGGAAATAATACCGTACCATAATTTTACACTGTACTTAGGGTTAAAGAATTTCCATAATGTAATTCCGTACTGTAACATAATGTACTGCCATCTTTGCTTCTCAGACGCTATTTTATGAGATAGGGCTCTGATGGGGGAGTCGGGGTGACCATCAGATAAGCCTCAGTCACTTAGACTAGGGCAGTCCTGTGTTTCAAATCTTGAAAGTGTAGCTGCCATATTCATGAATTGCATTTTTCTTGGCTTGCTTATGAAATGAGATTTCAGGATCAGCCCAACCCAAAAGATAATGTGGTTCTTGTGTCTAAGGTGTGATATCTTGTACACTGAGGAGAATCTTGATGTATACTGATATGTTTAATCGTGTTCATCCTGGAATTTTCTACTCATATTTTTCTGATACCATAATAAAAATACAGTACAGTGGGGTATGCTATAACGAACGGATCCTACTACGAATATTCCTATAACGAACGGTTTTACCTATAAAATTGAGAATGCTATAACGAACGAAACTCCTACAACGAACATTATTTAATTTTTTTTTTTCCTAATTTATTGTTTTTTTATTACAAATATTAATGATATTCTTTATTTCAGGGGTTTAGATGCATATTTATGCACTTTCTTACAATTTTTACAATTTTATATTATATTTTTCAGTGTTAAGTGGTTGTATTTGGGGGCCTGGAACGGATTAATCCTATAACGAACGAATGCTATAGCGAACAAGGTTCTAGAACCAATTAGATTCGTTATAGCATACCCCACTGTACTGTGTTGTACCAGGTTTCTTAGTCTCTTGTAAATTTGTATCAATTTATGCTCCACTGTAAAGTGTGACTTACATTTTGTGAAATATGGTGATAGTTTGGTCTCTAATATTTTGTGTTACCCTACATCACTTCACCCTAAACTTAATTTACACTCATGTTATAATTTCAGGTTAAGGATGCCCTTGTAGAAGAAAATAGGTTTTTGTCAAACTATATAAGATTGGTTCCTGTTAGACCTGTTATTGCCCCTGAAGAGGAAGATCAAGGTAAGTGATCTCATGGTTTAGTACAGTACTGTACTGTATACTGGTATATTGAGTCATAACTCAACTGAAGGTTTTTTGGGGGGATATGATAATCTTTATTTTATTTTTGTGCCATCACACACCCACCTTCAGCCTTTGAAAACATTTTGGAAGGCACACATTTTTTTATCAAAATTCATCTTGCAGAAGCTATGCCTACCAAATTTGGCAAGAAGATTCATTACCTCAATGAATAGAGTTTACTATAAAATGTTTCTTAACTCTCCCTCCACTCTTTAATTATTAAATAAAAAATTTCACAACCACAGGAGATGAGAAGCACCAACAAGAAAAGAATTCAAGTAACGTTGCTCCTTTCAGACGTAAGTACTATGCCAAAATAATGTTTTAACCTTTTCCATAAAGTTTTAAGTGCACATTGACATTTTGAGTTTAAATTTTTAAATTTTACAAGTAAGAGAAAGTCACTTTCTTGAGCATTGTGGGAAATTCAGTCAGTGTGAATCATTCCTTGTAGAGTATAAAATTTTTGGTGTAGCTAAGCTAAAACCTAAATTGTTCACATACACAGTCTTGAAGAGCAAACTTGTTTTAGAAAGAGGGAAGTGTAAAATTTATACAGAATAGTAACGAGGGGTTTTGCAAGTAATGATGAAGGAATGGAAGTTATGGGTAAAGCAATATAAAATATTTTGTGGGCTGATGATGCAATTCTTCTTACAATTAGTGGAGAGGCATAACAACAATTAGTCAATAGATTAGTGGGAAAAGATAAAGAAAATGAGTTTCGAGTTAATGCTGTAAAGACAATTAATGCAGCAGTTGTTTAAAAATTTAGAGTACAGTATAATCTAATATGAATATTATGGTAGGCAACAGAGAACTTAAGCAGGTATAGAATTTTGTCTCTTGGGAAATAACATAAGTTATTAGGCCATGACTTGTGCAGCTCAGAACTGTGGACACTTTTAGCAGAGACTAGTAAGAGGCTATAGACCTTTGAAAGTGGTGTTGCAGAAGAATAGAAAAACAAACGAAAGAACAAAATTTAGTTAGAGCAATAACAGAATCACTGAAAATTTATTGAATACAAAAAAAGAGACACTGTAGAAATAAAAAATATTGCAAGGTTCATAGAAAGTTAAAACATTTACCATAGTTGGAGGAACATTGTTTCCACCCTTAGAAATGATTGAATTGTCATTTGCTAATTGAGCAGCACAATCTTGCCTGATTTCAGTGCCAATTGTTTAGGAAATGAATATGGGTTTGGATACACAGGACTGGTGCCATTGTCCAGAATACAAATACAATAAATAACTATGTACATCAAACAAATGATAACTGTGTTTTAAAGATATCTTGTATACTGTATGTACAATAAAGATGAATAAAAAAAAGTAATTTTACATGATTCTTTCTTGATTTTAACCAAACAAATGATCAGTAGGATGTAACTTGCTTTTTCTGTTTAACATGTCCTCTTTCTGTTTGTTATACTGTATAGGAATGAAACATTGCCATGTGTTCAGATCCAGGCCTTACTTTACTGATGAAAAATTGACACCTGTTTATGTGAATTAATTATGATGTGTACAGTACAGCACTCCCAGATGGAATACTTCTGTCATCTCTGAGTAGGGTTTGGTGTTGTGCCTTTTCATCTCCTTATCCTAGTACAGAGAAACAACAACAGAACAATTAAAGTAATAATGTACTATAATTAGAAAACTTTCTGCACAAAGTAGGGACATGTCATTTCTCCCAATTTTCTGGATGCTTCCACTGTCTTAATTTTCATGAGCCCCACTCGCCATCAACATATGAGAAGATCTGGGAGGGCACATGAATTTTCTGTCAGTGTTCCATCATGCAGAAATTCTGTCGATCAAACTTCATTTTATGCTGTAGACTAGAAGTGTGTGTATAACTCCCTCCCATAATTTTTTTATGTACCAGACAACTTTTGACAATTCAAAACTTCTTGCTTCAATTATATTTAGTTTTTGGCATGGGGATGCCTTAGTGAATAGGTCAGACAATGACACTTGTCTGGTCTCTCTCTGCATTTTATTTATTAAGAAAATGATTGAATATTAATTTTCACCACAGGAGATGGAGGGTATATGGCAGGTCTACAGAATCTTCAGGAAAAGTATTTAAGCAAGCTGGCTCTTTTAAGACGTAAGTATTGTGTAATTTTTTAATAAAGTTTTCATGAAGATATAAGTAAATTTAACAATAGGAGGTTCATTGTTTAGGTTTAAAAAATACAGAAAAAAATACATCTGGTTTATTTTGAATGGAAGTAAGAAGAACCTTGACATTAATTTATTCGGCTTTTGGAAGTACTGTATATAATTATAAAGAATTATCTGTATCGTTGATCCATGGATGGGAGATGGTAGCTCATGTGGGTTTTCCCAAAGTTAGAATTTAACCTCATTTGTTCTATGTGTTCTCATCTGTGGAAAGATTTTGTACTTTGACATATGAACAGATGGTGGTATTGTTATTTAGTATTTGGCATATTTTTAGTTGACATATACACACTTAAAATTGTAAAGCACATGGGTAGTAGGCAGCTATCAAGCAGGGAGGTACTATTGCCTGGGAAGATATTGGAAGCATAATGTGTTGTCTAATGGTAGACTCTTCTGCCATATGGCATCACAAAAATTGTGACCAAGTCCCGGTTTGCTGATCTGACGTTCTGCCTCATTTACACAATTGCAGGGCCGCAATTGTTTCTCTTACTTTGGCAACACCACATACATATATTGTTTCTCACTATTAATATTTAATGTTTTTTATGGTCCTTTATTATTATTATTATTATTATTACTACTGTATTATAATTATTATTATTATTATTATAATAATAATAATAATAATAATAATAATAATAATAATAATAATAATTTTGTCCCCAGGCCCTGATGTGGGTCATTGACCTGTGCCCTGGTGGGCTAATCCTGTATAGAAAAAAAACAGGAATCTGAATTAAAGTGTTCTTTTTTCTCTCTTTCCAGAAAGTAGAAAAAAAGGTAGGGATCCTGTAAGAAAAAAGAAAGAGGCCAAATTGAATAAGAAGATTGCTAGATTAGACAAAAGAGTTAAAAAGAAGACCAAACCACATCCAATAAATCAGGAACATGAAATCAAGACAGAGAAAGGCATCGCTCAGGGTAAATTGTCGTGTAATGTTCATATGTTGATAAGGTATTGGTTAGTAATAAATGAAAATATTAATTAAGGACTGGAAGTGTAAATAATACATATACAGTACAGTATTTCATCAACCTACAACTTATAGGTCTTTAAATGTAAGAAAAATCCCCATCTCTTATCGTACACCTAAGCTAATGCAGTAAAAATACTTCAAGGTACAACAATTGGTTTGTTGGTACAGTATTGTATTGTAGATATTTTAGCTCTTTCTGAGGCTTAATTTTTTTTGTGCCAAACATGGATGAAGATCTTAGTTTGCACCTCTTAAAAAATCAGCTATGAAATGTAGAATGGATTTCACTTATGATTTCCTCATCTGTCTATGTATGTAAGTAACAGATAATTAATGAACATTGTGTTGTACTTACCAGAAATTGCAGATCTGTAGGGATTTGTGGGTGGATCAGGCAGTACTATTTACAACATGCCACATGGACAGGCACTCCATGCTGTGACCACATTCTTATATGTTACGGAATCGGTGATTTTGCAAAATGACCGGCATGCATATTGGTAATTTTGCGAAATAACCTACAAGCAGACATCCTAAACTAACCTAACCTTATAGTTAGGACAGCACATAGTTCAAAGTAAACAAAAAAAGAACAGGACCACTTAACTGTGTATGAAGTTACACGAGCCATCCTAACCTGACCTAACCTTATTTAAGTTTAGGTTGACTGTTTGTAAGTTATTTTGCAAAATTACCAATATGCATGCCGGTCATCTTGCAAAATAACCGATTCCGCAATAAAACTAACATATACAGTACCCTATAAATTGTGTGTGCTTTATACAGGTTTAGGTCGAGAATATTACCGTTTTGGTGGATAGCATCTATTTTATATATTAATTTGAAGACTTAATGACAACTTAGTGTATTAAATGTTGCTTGTGTCATTGATGTAAAGATATGCAGAGATCACAATAGTATCTTGTTTTACAGGTGGAAACAGAGCGACACCTACAATTTACAACCAGAAGGGAGAATTGGTTTTCAGTAAATTTGATTTCTCGAGCAGTTCCACCGCAGCGGAGGTTGACAGCAATTTGAAGCCTAGGGATTTGAAGCAGGTTCTATCACAAGCATTGAAAGAGAAAGAAAAGGTTTGTAGTTGTTATGCAATGCAGCAAGATATCTTGGTGATAGATTTGAGTGATATATGATCTCTGCCCGTCTAATATATGAAAGAATGGGAGTTTTATGTATACAGTACTTTGTGTAAGACAGTTGTTATCAGTGAAGAGAAAGTATGTCCTGAAAGAGAAATAAAAGTAATTTGTCACCTCCGTAGTTGTTGAAAATGTTTTTATGAAATAGTCTTACATATTATTGGATGTATTTATAATTATAATATATTGTACAGAACAGTACTGTAATTAATGTATACAGTGGTCCCTCGGTTAACGAACACAAATTCATTCCAGAAGGTCCTTCGTTAACCGAATCCATTGTTTCAATGGGATATTGGGTAATTGGTTCCAGCTCACCAAAAGTACATACAAAGTAGAAAAAATCCATAAAGTACACTTACTTTGAGGTGTGTATGTAGAAGGCTCCTGGTTGATGATGATGATGGGAATTAGAAGTGGGGTGGAGAAGAAGGGAGAAGAGAAGGAAGTGGGGATGGAGGAGAAATCACCTTTCACTGGACCCAAGCTTGATGCAGTCATTTCACCAATAAAATTTTAAGTTCACTAGGTGTAATTCAAGATAATTTTATTTAAATCAGCACTGCACTAGGCTATATATTAACAATCTGTTAACTAAAGTTCAGAATGATCAATAATTCCAATGAAAAATGCAAAAATATTCAAGACACCAACAAAATGACTGCTCTCTCGACAGTAAACACAGCCAGACTGAACCTGTACAGGGAGTACTGCATATAATATTATCAATATGTTAAATAAATGTTAGAATGACTAATAATTTTAATATAAAACATTAAAAATATTAAAAAGCTCAAATTTATTGATACAGGGTATTTACTCCATTGGAAATAAATTTAAACTTAGAACAGATTATTGAATTGGCAGACTGGGCCATCAGCTGACCAGCTGATGCTCACAACAAAACGTGATTTTCGTAAGGATTTCGTTAATCAAATTTTTTTTCGTTAACCGAATTGAAGATTCTTATGGAAGGTAATTCGTTAACCGAGGGACCACTGTACTTGTTTGATATTATGGCTTCAGAATTAACTCTTGAAAATATTAATAAGTTGAGGTGAACTGTACTGTAGTATTCATGACTAATGGTGGGTTTTGTTGTAGGTAAAACGGATGGAGCAGAAGGGTTATCTTGGCAGTGCTGCTGAAGTATTAGACCAGAAAGCTTGGTCAGGAGCACTGCAGAAAGCAGAAGGCATAAAAGTAAGTTTTGATTCATAATAGTCCTGTGATAGAATAGTTATTTTCTAAAGCTGATGATTATTATTAGAGTTTTTCTAAAGTTGAAAAATTCTTTGGAAACCTGACCATCTTTAATGGGATTTAACTTATTGATTCTCTGTTAATTCTTTATAGTTATCAACTATTGAAATTACCACTTATAAGCATGTAAAATGATTATTCTTCATACATAGACATTAATGACATAATAATTGCCTCCTGAGGTTCTTGTCTTCGTTCTACATCGACACACAGCCATAGTGTATCACAGCATATGAAGTTTCCATTGTTCTCTTACATATCTTGAACCCATTCTCCATCTCATCATCATGTAACACTGGTATAAAAACATACCTGGAATTTATACTTGCTCACACTCCCTGGGAAGCAATTTAATAACTGACATAATTTCAGTGTGGATGAAACATTATATTGTCTTATAATGTGTGTGCTAATGTTCGTCTCTTATACAACAGATAAAGAATGATGTTGACTTACTTAAGAAGTCCCTCCACAAGAAATCAGCACGCAAGAAAGCCAGTCAGAAGAGCTGGGAGGAACGCAAAGAAGCTATTAATAGGAAAATTTTGGAGAAGCAAAATAACCGGCAAAAGAATGTCAAGAGTCGAAAAAATGCAAAGCTTAGTAAAAAGATGAAGAAAATGAAAAATAAAGGCCATATAGTCCCAGGTTTTTAAGAGAGATCTTTACTGTGTTATAAATTGGACTGAGCTACTTTAGTGTAGCCTGTGAATCTACAGGTTAAAACCCTAGGCCCCTGAGTCCTGTTATGTGACTGAAATCAAAATAGCATAAAAATTAAAAACAAATTATTACTACAAAAGTATCATACAAAGAGAAAATGCTCTTGAGTTGATTTTGAGTATAAACAGACACACTGGCCCATTCATTCGTCTGTTGAAGCTGGCTGTAAAAGCATTCGGTCATGAAGAATCCCTCTGGTTTCAGTCTCACTTAAGCTAAATTATCCTAAACTTTTGGGCAGTGGCATAGGCTATGTACAACTGCCACACACTTGAAGTGCCGTTTTATATTGCATTGAAAGTTTGTCTGCCAACTGTACAGATTTGCCCACCTGTTTAATGAGTTTGTTATCGGGTCAGCACAACCCTGCACCGAGATAATATATTCAGGATAGCAGTTTTAGTAAATTCATGCTCCGGAGAAGACCCGAGTACTGAAGCAGTTACCGGTACTTGGTTGTCACCCCAGGACTATGAAGCCATAGGAAGCTGAAGGTTTGTTTCTTTATGTCTACCTTTAGAACTGAATTTTATCAGTCCAGTAGATTAACCCCATTAGAAAGTGCAAATTTACATTAGCACTTGGATCCTATTGGTACCTCCAGCCTCCTTTTCCAGCTGGCATTAGTATACTGTACAGGTAAGCTCAATCCAAAATGTTCAGGTATAGATAAAGGACTGCTCCTTTCATTCTGTTTTATAACCAGGTCGAAATCAAGCAATTTTACACCCCTGCCTCCAATATCTATTTGGAGTGCTGTGATGAGCTGGATCTGGAGGTTTCTTCTGATTAAACACTTAAAGGCTGGCAACAAAAATGAATATAGATCAGTGCCTTTGTTTATATGCCTCAGTAAAAAAAAAAAACATACATTTTTAATGCACAGCACTTTCTTACCAAGTAGTTGACTTTCAGGAGGGTGCCACGTATGAAGGTGAAGGATAATATGTTTCTCAAATAATTTGCGTTTTAGATTCATGTCACAAATTAGGATCTTTGGGTTCTGAAGTTTTGTCCCGTAGTCTTATTGGCTATACAGAGATAAGCAGGGCTGCCTCGGTTATAAATGGTATTTAAGAATCAGTCCTCCATTTTTAAAAGTAACTACTGTACTTTGTTGTGTAAATATAATTTGGTTTTTGGATGTATTATACTGTTGTGTCCATCTAAAGACAGTTAATTATTAAACTGAATATACAAAAAAATATCATTTGTAAGAAAGGGAAGCAAGTTAAGGTGTTTCAAAGATTATCTCCTTCGCAAGAACACTTAGCATTCACCTGGGAGTGTGGTGAAAAATGGTTGATGTTTCCTTGGAAAGAGATTCTAGAATTGGAATCAGTGTGTCAACCATACTTTTTAATATTATTGCCAAGAGGTAAATATCCTGGTGAGCTGTTTGTATATTGTTGCAGTTGTATCGGTAATACAGTACTAAACTAAACATTCTTTATGCCGCACCAATCCTGTATGACCACAAAATTTAACTTTACCTCTTGGGTTGGGGGTCCTGGGTGCTACAAATGAAACTGAATATGCTTTTTGTTGTTTTGTGTATTTTTTTTTTTTTTTTCATTATAGAGTTAAAATGTTGCAAGAATTGATTGTGACCAATTCTATGTTGATTTAAATTTCCTTATTTTGTGAAATTATTATACTGTAGTTAAAAATAATGCATTTCAAATTGACAAAATTTGTACTGTATCTTAACTTTTTAAATTTATAATTTACCATTGTAACTCCAAGCTCTTGTTCCTGGATATGCATTTAGCCAGGCAGTTCTAATAGCTGAAAATTTTCTGCTTACCGGAGAGTTCCTTGTTCATATTTGAAAAGGAGAGAATACTGTAAGCAAGTTACACAGTCACGTCAGGGTGGGGGGTTGAGGCTTACGTAGGTAGCTGTGAACATGGATAAGAGGTTCACCACATTATGTTAATCTATCTGCCTCAAATGAAGGAGGAGGATGTTCAACAGTTTGCCCTTTGGAGGTAGGAGGTTTATTTTAGAGCCTTACATGACAGCCATTTTATTTCCCAGTCAGTCAACCATTTTGTTTTTGGCCCTGCTGATCCTGCTAAGTTTAGAGGGGATAGTGGCTGATTGGGTTGACATGGCACTTAACAACCTCTAACCTTCAAAGGGCAACTGTTCAGCTAAATCCCATTCATTTGAGGCTGCTGGTGTGATAGGGAAGGATGGTTTGATTGTTACACTCAAAATGGGTTAACAGAAAAGTTCTGGTTTTCATACTGCAGCCTGTTTTACGAGAGCTACTGGCTATAGACTCCACTAGAAAATATGATTTCAGGACCAGTCCTCAGTTTCAGGTATTTTTGTATGTCTGGTGTGAATGGGAATATTACAGTATTGTTAATTTGTCATCATTGTGTGGTGTATTGTGTAACAATAGCCTTATTTAATTTTGAAATAAGACTTTTTTTACTTTTTTTTCCAACAGTTTCTTTTACAGTACTTTGAAACTGGAACAAAATGAGTAAAACCCTGACTTATAGTTTGATAGTTTCAGTGCCGTGGAATTTCAGAATTCTCAGACCCATTCTTCATACATCATTTTTTACTTAGCATTTTATCATTGATTCCCTTCTGTTGGTTATTTGTATTATGCCATAATAGCAAGTTGTAACTGGAAAAAGCATACAAATACTGTAGACGGAGTAGAAACAACCAAGCATTGTGAGTAAAGGAAGAGAGCTCAACAAATTTAGCCAGCATCTGTGTGAAGACAAGCATATTCTATAACATTAACGAGAATAAACCACTACCAGAATGTTCGCGAGTAAACAGGAAAGTGTTTTTTTATTCGTGAGGAATATTCAAAGGGAATGCAACCTTAGTCCAACAAAAGAAAGTTAATTCATGAGTTGATTACATTGCTGTCACGTCTTTTTTGAGTTTCTTGTTTGTGTTGTTTAATTGTGCATCGTAATTTCACGTATTACGACCATTGGTATGAAGATGTGTTGCTTTCCTTATCAGATAATGTATAGTACTGTACTACATTATGTTACAGTTATGAGTCATTTAGTGGTTTTTCATTACATGTTTCATTTCTGTGTTTGCCTTACATTTCGTTTGGATGATTGTTGGGAATGAATTGGCCGCAGCACTTATGTACCACTTCAAGTTCGTTTGCAAAATAGATGAGTCAAATCTCATGAAGTGAGACCATCATTAATGCTTTGAGATCCTCTAACTAAAGGATCTCAGTCAGCACATTTGTTACATGATTATTTTCTCCCATAAATACACATTATTTTGGAAATAGCAACTTTGGTTCAGGTCTCAAACAATCCTTTCGTATTGTATGCCACAAATACATCCCTAATAATTCATCATTAAAGTACAGGTTGTACCTCTGTAGTCCGGCAACCTAATAATAATAATAATAATGATAATAATTAACGGTTTATTGAAAGAGCTTGGCAGCCAGAAGGCTGAAAATATACAGTTACATATTTGGCGAATGGGTTACGAATTACAAATAATATACAAGTGACATAAGTGACACAAATAAGACATATAATAACTAGACGGGGAAAGGCTCAAACTACAGTTCATTTCAACATAGTGACAGTGTAAGGAGCAGTGTTTACTGGGAGTGAATACACTGATTTATTACAAGTTATTGATAATTCTTACAATGGTTGGGACTGGGCTGTTCTTATAGCGATCAGTTCGTGCACGTATGGGCTGGATGCGGTTGTGGTGTCGAACAGCAATTCTCGGACAAGGGATCTCAGGTGGTAGTAGGAGCCGGTGTCGGGGATGGTGTAGAAGCTTCTTACCAAATTTGCAGATGAGGTCGTGGTGATGGTCAGTGAGAGTCGAAAGGGTCAGTGTGTTGAGCGCTTCTTGATATGTGGAGTAGGAAGGGGAGAGAATAATCTTGCATGCCCTCTTCTGCACTTTTTCTAGGTGTTTACGTTGTGTGGCATTTAAGGAGGAAGACCAGGTGGGGGAGGCATAGGTGAGCTTGGGAAGTATGAATGTTGTGTAAACACTGAGGAGCTCGTGTGCAGGAACTCCGAGGGACTTGAGTCGGCGGAGGAGGTGGAGACGGAAACTGGAGGATTTGATAACTTCACTGACGTGTGGTTTCCAATTTAGTTTGTTGTCTATGGTGACGCCGAGGAGCTTCGTGGAATCTACAACCTGGAGTGTGTTCGGAACTAGAGTAATGGAAGGAGGTGGGACAATGTCGGAGGAGAGGTTGATGTGCATAACCATGGTCTTGGTATGGTTGATGGTGACATGGTTGTTGGTGGCCCAGTTTTGGAGACTGTTCAATAAATCCTGAAGGGCGGTATAGTTGGGAGCAGAATTGTTGACGCTGGAAATTCACCCTTTTCCTGGAAAGATAGTGACTGCTTCGTGGTCTCTTTGAAGGGTTAAATGTTGCACAGTAGGTTCTCAAATTTTGGGAGTTTTTAATTCGTCATTTTTTATTTGGACACAAAAAAAAACACTGCAATTTAAAATTTTGACGGCGGAAACTCGAATTTCGACGGGTTTGAGCGGCCCGCCAACGTTCAGACGTGCACAAATCGTGTAAACAGTGTCATTTCTCTTGTGTACAAAAGATTCATTATTGTTTATTAGTGAATGTCTTTTTGATTTAATTAATTTTTATGTGTGCAAAATGAACAATACAATTCATTAATAATCCATAGAATATTAAAACACACGAGGAAACGAGACGTCATTGTTTTCGTTGATTACAAAACCAGTGACTGACTGGTTCTACATATAAAATTGAAGAAAATAAGACCCTGGTTGTAGCTGTTGTAAAATTAATATGGTTGTTTTAAGTAATGTTATTTAATGTTAATAAATGGAACAATATAAGTAGCTAACCATTAATGGTAAAGAAAAAAGTGAGCTCACGTATGTAAGTGAGCACGTGAAAACATATCGTCGTTACTCTACATAAGAATATGAAAGCAACACTTATTTACTGTTAATATATATTTTAATTTATGTTATTTTAATTAAATTTTCTGAATTTAAAACAAAAATTCTACCCACCAGTGGTGGTAAAGTTGAAAACATAAGGACAGCCAATGTTGTGTGTGTTTTTACTCAGATGACGTATGCTTAACTCTAGCTGAAGCTGTAGAACATAAGAACTTTTCTGTGTTGTTTTTAGTTTTTATTTAATTTTATCTGTTATTTTTGTTGGTTTATTAGGATGTTGCTTTATTACAGGTAGTAATTCGCCAAAAAAGTAGGGTGAATAAGGCCAAATTTAGCCAAACATCGAAAGTACCAGACTCAAATTAATTTTCTCCACGGGCAAACTAAAATCGTTCCGGACCACGGGAGTTTCCGGATCACAGAATGCCGGACTAGAGAGGTACAACCTGTACTTCAGAGCACTTCACTTGATTAACACAAAAAGTAATCTAAATCACAGAACTTTGGATGATAGAGGATATTAGGCCTATATAGTAGAGGAACTGACCCAATTGATACGTGTGTGTGTGTATGTGCATGTGTGCGTGTATGCTCGTGTACTTGCTCATTCCTATTTCCATTGTACCCAAAGGTCGTGATACTTGTTTTGATGGTTGTATCTGAATAATCATCTGAGAAGATTTTAATAACATTCTTGCACTGTAATTTTATGAAACTTATAACAGGATTAAATTTTGTAGGTGTGTGTATTTTTTTAAGTTTATCAAGTTCTACTGTGCTTGTGTTGTAAATATATTAGATAAGGTCTTGTTTGCATAAGATGCTACTCATTACAATTCATAATTTTGGTTGTAGGGTAAACTAAATTTGTGGGTAGGGTGGTCCATTTTCAGGCCTTAGTTTATTTTGTAGAAATGTATGAATGATTATGCAAGTCACTGTTTTGCA